CGTACCTCCAGCTATGTAATTTGCGGTCTCCAGAAACGTCCGCGGGACTACGTTTTCAGAATGAGCCTGTGTTGCTCAATCTGAAAACGTAGTCTCGTGGATGTTTCTATTTCGTAGCCGGAGGTATGTATGGCTACAAAAAATTTTAAGTGAACGCTACGGGGCGGTATGACGCCGTTCCTTTTCGTAGTTACCGCATGACCGCTTACCTCCATGTGGAGGGCTTTCCCGCTGCAACCAGTTTGTCCAGTTAGCTAATCGTGTACGTCGGCGGACTTGAGACACAGAGAGGAGTTGACCACGACGACGACCGTGTCTGGGGAAGAGCGGTTCTAGAAAGCAGGTAAGACAAAAACAGAATTAAAAAAATGAAATTAACAAGTGAATAACAGTGAGAATGTGGTAAAATCTGAAGACGCTGGCTTTTTTTTCTGGACAGCTTTTGTAAATCATTGGTTGGGTTTAGGGAAGAAAGTGGGTGGGCGGGTCAATCGATAAAATTGGTTGGTTTTAGAGAAGGAGGAGGGTGGGTCAGTCAATTGACCTGTCAGTGGCCTCTGGTAGGTTTACACGAGAACAGCGTAGGCACGAACGGCACTCACAAGACACATTTGAGATATGACAACGCACACAGCGGCCTCTCGTGGATTCGCGAAAACAAAATCTGCAAAAGTACGTACCTCCCGGGATGTATTTTGTGGTCTCCAGAAATGTTTATGGGACTACATTTTTAGAATGAGCCTAGATTAGTATAAAAATACCAAATGAAAGCATTAAAATTATCCTATATAAGAAACAGTTACTGAAGTTTTTAGAATCTCTTAATAAATTGTGTCTATTTTAGTTTGTGTTAGGGAAAAAAGTATGAAAGCAAGCGGATTTTGGCAGACATGATATTTAGCAAATTTCCATTGTCTATGTTGTTGCTTTGTTGTTATCTATCCTATTAGTGTGTCTTTATATGTGTGATGTGTTGTTTTCTGTCCTGTTTTCATTAGTTGAGGAGTAAACTGACACCTCAGGAGATTCAGCAGTTTGCTCTCTTACTGAGGGAATACAGACTTGGTGCTCCAATAGAACAGTTTTGCACTGACCTGCTGCAGCTCTATGGAGACTCACGCAAGTTCCTGCTACTTGGTGAGAAACTGCACTCAATACAAATGGGCCACACTTTACAATAATAATTATTAGAATGTAAAATTGTGCTTGTTAATACTGTAGGTTAAAAACTTTTTTTAAGAATTTTCCTAGAGTTAAACAGTTTTTCCATTTTTTTAATCCATTCAGCTGATCTGTGGGTCTGGCGGAGGAGGATTTTAAGCTTAGCTTAGCATAAATCATTGAATTAGATTAGACCATTAGCATCTCCAAAATGATCAACAAATTATCAAATTTTACTGATAATTTTTTTTTTTAATTTTATGTTATCCCCGCGTGGGTTTCCTCCAGGTGCTCCGATTTCCCCCACACTTTAAAGACATGTGGTACAGGTGAATTGGATAGGCTAAATTGTTCATACTGTATGTGTGTGAAGGAGTGTGTGTGGATGTTTTCCATGGGTTGCAGTTAGAAAGGCATCCGCTGCATAAAACATATGCTGGATAAGTTGGCGGTTCATTCCGCTGTGACGACCTCGGATTAATAAGGGACTGAGCCAAAAAGAAAATCAATAAATAAATGAATTTCCTATTCAAAGTTGGAATCTTCTGTATTTACATAGTGTACTAGGATCAACGAAAAATACAAAGTTGTCAGTTTGGCTTGGAACTACTTTCATTCTGTGCTAAAAATCAAAGAACTTTGCTGCGGCACCATGGCTGCAACAGGTTGCATAATTGCTAGTTGAGGACTGTTTTCAGGCACTGCATAACACCAATATTCCTGTTATAACCATTGACTTCCAAAGTTAGTTTTTCTACCATGAATGTAAATGGTTACAGGTTTCCAACACAATAATGATTTCTAACATTTATATAGCGCTTTTCTGGCACTTTACACATAGGGGGAATCTCCTTATTCAACCACTAGTGTGCAGCATCCACTTAAATGACGTGATGGCAGCCATTTTGCGCCAGACCACACACCATACACCAGCTGATTGGTAGAGAGGAGACAGAGTGATTAAGCCAATTATGATATAAGGATGGTTAGGAGGCCATGATGGACAGAGGCCAGTGGGCAAATTTGGCCAGGATGCCAGTGCTAAACCTCTACTCTTTTTCGAAGGACATCCTGGTATTTGTAATAACCACAGGGAGTCAGGAGCTCGGTTTAACAACTCATCCAATAGACAGATTCTTCAAAACATTCTTCAAAATATTTTTCGTGTTCTGCAGACCCCCCAAAAAACTCCCCATGAAAAAGTAAAGATTAAGAAAATTATGAAACAATTGTCTTTGTTTAGGTGACCTATCCCTTTTATCCTGGGTATAAAGAGTGTGCTATCTTCATTTATAGATTATACACTTACACATTTGCACTAAATCAAAAGGTTGAAATTAGAAATTGAAAAAGAAGCCTGATGAGTGGCGCAGTAGGTAGTGCTGTTGCCTCACAGCAAGAAGGTTGCTGGGTCGCTGGTTCGAACCTCGGCTCAGTTGGCGTTTCTGTGTGGAGTTTGCATGTTCTCCCTGCCTTCGTGTGGGTTTCCTCCGGGTGCTCTGGTTTCCCCCACAGTCCAAAGACATGTGGTACAGGTAAATTGGGTAGGCTAAATTGTCTTTAGTATATGAGTGTGTGTGTGGATGTTTCCCAGAGATTGGTTGGGGCTGGAAGGGCATACGCATAAAAACTTGCTGGATAAGTTGGTGGTTCATTCTGCTCTGGCGAGAATGAAACAAGAAAATGAATGAATATTACCGATGCATTTTGAAAATCTTAGAATCAATACAGAATTTATTTTTTAAAAGTTTTTGGCCACAGCTCTATTTTCAGGTCAACCGGTATATGCAAAGGAAAAGAAAAATCATTAAGAAAAAACATTTGAAAATCTAAATATTTGAAAAATCTGATTCTTTTGGTCATGATGAAACTGCCAATACTGTATATTTTTGACTCTGGCATACAAAAATAAAAATTATAACATAATTTGGCAAATATTTAAAAAAGAAAAATAAATTCAAAGGGGGCTAATAATTCTGACTTCAACTGTATGTCCACACATGTAGCAAAATGACAATAAAGCTCGACTTGACTTGAACTTTCAAGATGAAGAATCTGCTTGCCTGTGATTCAGAATGCAGGGTTAACTAGCCTAAGTGTGAAATGCCCTGTTGAGGACCTGTTTAACGTCACAAGAGGCATGTTAGGACGACTATGTTTACTTCATACTGAAGCCTGAAATAGAACCTCTCTGATACAATATTTCAAAAGCCATGATTTATCAGATTTGGCATTGCAATGAAGGTTTGTGTAATCGCTGTCTATCATTAGCTCATTAGAGGGATTAGAGTAACATGAAGCGTAATGAATATTCATCAGCACCTGGCTTGCACTGAAACAGTCATGGTGCGACATCAGCCTTTCCAACGACATCACACTTTCACAGCATGACAGAACTACAAAACTCACTACTGACTCCAGGGAACAGAAATAGGATACAGGCTATAAATAACCACAATTTACAACTATAAATAACTGTGATCCAGATAAATCTGTCACAAATACACATTTTAGAAATTAAGTCATTAAATGTTTAATTGGGTTGTTTTTTGATGCACCATGAACTATTTCCTACAATGTTCGTCACCTTAGAAATATAAGGTTCTATCGGACATTTTTGTCAAAACTGAGTTATCGGCATAGTCTTATTAAATGACATCTTATTGTTTACATTTTAAGAGTTTTTACTTAAAAAAAAAAACAAATAACAAACACATACCGTTTGCTATGGAATGCAAAAACTTTGAAGCTCAATATCTCAAAATCATTTAGAATGCAGATAGAAACTTATAATTCCAAGGTGACGTGTTGTCAAAGTGTTTATTATACTATTTTACTATGAAATATTTATTTAAAAATTAGAATTTAGACTGTAAGTTTATCCAGTTTTAGAAATATTGTTATGAGATTCGCATTTTAAAAAATGAATAAAGAAAAAAAAAAAAATATATATATATATATATATATATATAAACTTTTTAAATAAAAATGTATTATCATCCATCAATAAAAAAAATCTGAATCTGGTAAAACTTGTTTAAAAAAAAATGCAGACTATAGGAAAATGACAAACTGGCCAGCTCATTCTACTTTCTTCAGTCACAATTTAATCACTTGAATAATTAAAAATTTTATTTGTTCTGAATCCTTCTACTATTGATAAGTTTCACAATATATGATTGTATAGCAGCAATAGGATAAATGAGCTCATGTAGGGATCAAATTCTGGACTTTGTCAATGAGGGTGGGTCTTTCGAAACCCCCCGGGCTTGAACTTGACATAAATGCATTGCAAACTGTCTTTGAAATTAATAGGAAATTACCAACATAACTTGTCACAAATCTGTCATAAACATGATGGTAATGAAGCTATTATAACTGTTTAATTAATGTTTTTATCACTTTTCAACAAACTAAATTTATTACAATTTTACATTGAAAGTGTGATTTGTCAAATAAATTTATAACAGCATCTTTAATGTGTAATGACATTTTAATTAAAATTCAATTTGTACCACTGTTGTTGTTTAATAAAGAAAAAGACGAATGAAGCTGTCATAAAATTTATGATAATTATGTTTACAACAGATAATCCAGACAAATCTGTAACAAATGCATATTTTAGAAAGTGAGTCATTAAATGATTAATTGGGTTGTACAGTAAATCGACACAGATATTTTACTTGTAGGGCTTGTTCAAAAGACCCATTTATAGTAGAAATCTTATAAATATCAGCACAATGCCACTTTAGCCATCAAAAAACTCTCCATCAGGTTAACGTTATATTCATGTCATTACACACGTCATTAAGTGTCAATTATCTTTTTATGTCATTTTAAACTTTAAGATGACAATGATTGAGGTTGTTTGCTATAAAACTTCAGGCACGTGGCCAGCCTATTGAAAGTGGTGGTTCCTTTTTTTTTTTGCAGTTTGTTTATCTATTTTTTTTATTCAGTTATGCATTTTAGTGACATTTTAAGAACTCTTTGCTGAAATAGCTTGTCGGATGGTGATCATAACCACACTTTTTTGATGCACCATGCAATAATTCCTACACTGTTGTCAAAGTGCTTACCATACTATTTTACTATAAAGTATTTATTTACAAATTTGAATTTAAACTGCAAGTTAATCCAGTTTAGAAATATTGTAATGAGATTAGCATTTTAAAAAATTAGTAAAGAAATATGAAAAAAAAAAAACTTCTTTTTAAACACAAATTTATTATCATCCATTATTAAAAGAAAATACAAATCTGGTAAAACTTGTTTTAAAATAAAAACTGCAGACTATAGGCAAATGACAAACTGGCAAGCTCATTTAACTTTCTTCAGTCACAATTTGGCCACTTGCATAATTAAAAGTTCTAAATCGTTCTTCTATCGATAAGTTTCACAATTTGTGATGGCATAGCAGTCAAAAATGGGATAAATGAGCTCATGTAGGGATCAAATACTGGAATTTGTCAATAGGGGTGGGTCTTTCGAACCATCCAAACCCCCCCTGGCTACGGACCTGAACTCGACACAAATGCATTGTAAACTGTCTTTTAATTAATAGTAAATGACCAACATAACTTGACATAAATCTGTCATAAACATGATGGAAATGAAGCTGTTGTAAAATTCATGATAATTATGTTTATGACAGATTTATGACTCTTTGATTTGAGTTATTTTATATTGGTATTGTCAAGCGCTCATGACAAAGACATGCTATAATGTATTTGATTATGTCAAACTGTAATAACAAGGCGTATAAAATGCATTTACATTTAGAATTATTTAACTAAATTAATGACACTTAATGACAGTTATCATAAGCATGCTCAAACTCTCATTCATATTCATGTCATGATTATAAAGATTTCATGAACACCCCCTTCATTGGTATATGTCCAAAGACCTCTTAGATGATATTTCTGAAGTGAAGTAAGGGATAAAGCAGCTCGCAGCAACTATGTGCAACACAG